GCTACTTTTTCTCTGTAGCTTGTAGTGTAGCTAACTGCTATATTAAAACAGTAGCTTGGCTGTAGCTTAACTACTTTTAATCATAAGTAAAAAAGTAATTAAAAGTAGCTTCCCCATTACAGGGAATGAATGTACCATTACTGCCTTTGTCTTTAAATGTAGAGCTAAAATGCTCTTCAGCAAAATCTGTTTTAAAATTGTGATACATATAGAATCGGTAAACATATATCGATATAATATTGATTCGGGTGGTCAGTGCCAATTCCCACCCCTAGTCAGAAGACTGATACCTCCAAGGGCGCCAGAAAATAGCCAATCCTGTGTTCGGAATCCAAGCTTCCCATCACAAGGTGATTAAGATGGCAACTGTGAAAAAAGAAGCATTCAAATGTGTCTGTACTCCTGCCTGTACAGATAGAAGATAAAGCAAAATTTCATTTCATTTCTTTGGAGTGAGAATATGCTACCCTGGATGGTCGACATACAAAAGCTTCGCTGTGCTACCTTGCTGAAGGGCTCTGTAACTGCAGTAGGTGCACATGCAGGTCCGAGCGTAACAGAAGTGAGGCTGCAGAGCTTGCCAGGGGCTCTGACACTGGATGTCTACACAGAGGCTAAGGTGATCTTTCTGCACAGTAACCACAGCAACGGACAACCAGTGACTCAGCAGTGAATCTGGAGGGGGGTGTGGGTATAGGGGGAGGTCGAGAGACCACGAAGCACCCCGCCAGCCGCAGGCTGGAGCTGCCGTCCGGACCAGGGCCAAAGAGGCTCTCCATCCCCATTAGTGCATCAGAGTGTAGCCACTCCACCCTCCACATAAACGGGAAAATTGCAGGAGCCAAATTAGGCTGAATTCATTTCAACAGCCATTGTTGAACATTTCACTGCAATGATCCATTGAGACAGTTTCCCCCAAAAACGAGTGTTTGGGGATAAACCAATACTAGTTTAGAGCAGTGTTTCCCAACCTGGTCGTCAGGTACCCACAGCTGGTCCACATTTTTGCTCCCTCGTAGCTCCCCGCCAGACAGTCCACAAGTTTGCTCCCTCGTAGCTCCCTACCAGACAGTCCACGCTTTTGCTCCCTAACAGACAGTCCACATTTTTGCTCCCTCGTAGCTCCCCGCCAGACAGTCCACATTTTTGCTCCCTCGTAGCTCCCTACCAGACAGTCCACGCTTTTGCTCCCTAACAGACAGTCAACAATTTTGCTCCCTCTTAGCTCCCTACCAGACAGTCCACGCTTTTGCTCCCTAACAGACAGTCCACATTTTTGCTCCCTTGTAGCTCCCCGCCAGACAGTCCACAATTTTGCTCCCTCATAGGCCCCTGCCAGACAGTCCACATTTTTGCTCCCAGCTGGGAGGGAGTGAAAACATGGAATGTCTGCAGGTGCCTGAGGACTGGATTGGAAAACACTGGTTTAGAGCATGACCACATACTTCGGTGGATTACTAGGGACCCGAGGCCTGAACTAATTGACATGGTGTACAGGTGTTGAAACTGCCATGTTTACATTCAGAATCCCAGGCATCCATCAAATCTCCTCCAGCAATTGAGATAATATACTGTCTGCTAACGGGATTAGCATAAGCATAACAATCATATACGCCTTCTAGGTTAGTGCAAAGAAGCCAGGAACATGTGTTAACTGTTAAAATCTTTTTAAAACAAAACAAATACAGGAATGAAAAACATGTACAGCTTTTAATCATACTGCTGTGGAATGGGAAGAGATTATTTTTATATTAATTTACATTGTAAGATAATTTTTTTCTTTACTACAATATGGATAATAACTTGTGTTGGTCAGAAAAGTCCTTGTCAAACCCAAGAAAAACCAAAACTTTGAACTTGCTTATAAAGTAAGCTACCCCTCAGCTGTGGAGAGAGGCCTCTTCGGAACGAGTCCTTTTTAAAATTACAATCAGACAATGATAAAAAAAACAAAGGTTGGAGACTTTAGTGAATGCAGCTGGAGTACATGTTGGTAAAACTCCCTTGTGGGCGATGTAACTTTGTCAGTAAGCGAATAAGCACCTGCACTGCTCACCGTGACACTTGCCCCCATTTTCACACATATTTGCACTATGAGAAATGCAGGCAGTCGAAGGCTACGGACGAGATCCATTCACCAAGTCTGCCGAGTCAAATTTGCGGGTAAGTCAGAAAAGTAATTAACAATCTTCATAAGAGTAACAGTAATAATAAACGTAACTACATACGGTGCTGCACTGCACCTCGAGGCGACGAACTTCTGAAGCCGCGCAATGTTTTCACGAGCGTCACAAAAGGAGTGCGTGCATTCGTTATTACAAGCTGTATTTAACTCAAATGTTTAATATTATAGGCTTCGTAGGTACAAGTTGTCCGTAAGTTGGATATTCTTAACTCAGGGACTGCCTGTTCTTACAATACCCAGGGAGGGAACCAAAAACAAGTGAATGCAAAAATGTCAAGGGTGTACCCCAGAATTATTCCATGTTTTGCGTGGGAGAGGACACAAGCGCCTCAACAACCCTGACCAGGATAAATCGTTAGGAGATGGATGGATGGATGGATGGATGGATGGGCACGCTTAATTGCAAATTCATAATGAAAGTATCGATCTGTTCTTGACCACAATCTCACATCTTCACAGCAATACCAAAGGAACATTATCCACAAATGTCTTTCAAAGAACCTGGAGTATCTCGCAGTGGGAGGCAGTGAGTAATGGATGACACAGGCAGTGGCATGTATAACTGTTAATAATGACAGAAACGCCTGCTAGTCCATCAAAGCAAGGACACGTTCAAACTGCCATGTCTTGAAAGCATCAGCTCGCTCTTGAAGTTTGCGTGCTCTGCTTTAGTCTTACCACAACATGAGTATTAAATTAGCCAGTGATAACTGTAGGCGGTATTATCCTCTGTGATATTTCCCTGGCTAATTCACATACACACAGCCATCGCCGTTTCTGCTCATACCCCTTTGCTCATAACCAATAATGATCTTACTCCCCAAAGCACAAAGTAAAATGGTCTGTTCTTCCATGAGGGGAGCTGTAGGCATTTATCCAATAAAGTCCGTTTTCCATATTTGCTAATACACCCATCAGAAAAAAGCGCCCTGAGAATCTCCATATTGCATCCATAAACGGTGGAAAAAAGCACAGCTTTACATGTCAATACTTTCCATATTCTGAGATCCTATGTTCTTCCCAAGATGAAAAAGAAAATACAACAACTAAATGAAACCATATGAGCAACACACGTCTTGCAGGGAAAAGCCATGCCGGCCTGCACTATGAACACAAGGCCATGAGGAGCCCCAAATATGGGGATTTGTGAGCCATATCTTACTTGCACATGTTGGTTGCTCTCCTGCATAATACAGCTGCGTTTTGCACCTTGGGGGAGATCATCTGAGGTTTATTTTACAAGTCCCTGTGCCCCGGTCACCTCTGGGATGTTAATGGACCCACAGTTTTCCAGTCCCTCGCCTACCAAGGAGCCAACATCCAACCCAACTGGAAATATGCATGTCAATAAAAGAGCACGCCGTTTACCACCACTAGGACCCATAAAGCACCACAAAGCCAGGATTGAAACATCTCAGGGCTGATAAACCGTATCAATAATCCCTGTCACCACTTTGCTGCATCCATACAAATGAGGACATAGAAAATGTATCAGTTAACCAGGAAATATAGGGGTCAAATTGCTTGAACTCACCTATGTAAAGAATTCATTCAAAAGCATCTCATCAGTAAACAGTAGGACATTAAATTGTGTTGTTAGTGGGGCTGCTTGGACTCCTGCATATATGTTCATGTGTTGGTCGTCTCATGAACAAGCTGTTTCCACCATTAGCGAAGACCTCAGCAGCGGACAGATCCATAGACCAGAAGCAGTAGGCCACACCCTCACGTTCATTGGAAAGTGTTTACTCAAGGCAACACGTGATGTAAGGATCTCAGATGAGGCACCCCCCAAATAACCCCATCCTGCTCAGTGACAATAAGCTCTGCAGAGACCCAGAAGATTAGCGACAGTCTCTAAGGATCGCTGGGATCCTTTAACTGAATACCAATCTAAAAACATGCATGCAAGACTGTGCAGAAACAACCGCAGCAGCTGCGGGGTGGTGATTCGCGTTGTGTTAATTAAGACTTGAGGGAGCTACATGTTGCCCCCCGTGTCCGACGATCAGCATCTTCACAATACAAAATATATCACACTATGGGGTTTGTCAGCGGATATACAGGGGAAGAGCATATTCGACAAATGGGAACCTGCGAGTCTACAGCGTGTGACAGTATCGTAAAACACAGCTGAATCAAAACAAGGCTATCCTACACTTACCGACACGCTGAATAGTAACACATACAAAAAGCCGCAGCTAGCAGGACAGAAACGATCCCTAACCAGGAAAACCACGAGCATCAATGACCAATATAACGGAGAATGTACAATACGTTACCCAGAAAACGATTATTTGCATTAAATAATGATCAATGCCATTTCAAAAATCCTTTGAAAACAAAGCGTTACAAAATCTGACCAACTGCAAGAAATTGCATGCAATTATAAACGCAATGAAATATGTTGAAGAAACTTTAATCACTGAAAAAAATAATAAGTTCTTATTTTTATGAGCTGTTAATGCCAGTCACCGTAATTGAAGTTTGTCGCCAAAATACAGTACAAGAGGTATCTTTATTAGTCTGCTGTCTAAATCAGTATCCAAATAAGACGTTTCGACCGCAGTAATAAAATAATTCGCATGAACACGCCGTAATTCTGCGCGTATCATTCAGTCAAATGCATCTCACACAGGCGATGCACAACTTGCCCACTAACCGTGATATACAGGTACGTATTGCAAGCGGAGTATTTCACACTGTCAACATGGTAAACCGTGTAATGAGTCTTGTATAAGCAGAGCAAGATCGGCGTGATGCCTTATACTGCAAAAGAAAAAGTGTAGTAAAAAGAAAAAACAACGCAGCCTACCTGTCATAACTCCATCGGCTATATGACATGTTCCTGTTGCCATTGACTCCATCCATCATGGTCAGCGGTGCCGTTTAGAGATGGAAACGGCGCCGCGATGCTCTGGTCCGACAGTCTGGGGCGAGCAGCTGCGAATCGCCTGCCCTGAAAAGCACAACCGGAAAGCAGATCCGCTGCCGCTGAAGGCGAGTCTCAAAACGAGCTAAAATGATTTACTTAAGGGGGCTTCACAATGGGAGGGACGTACCATTTCTGAGACGCGGGGAAGTGAACTCGCAGAAGTTGTTCATAGCGCGGTAGTCTGGCCCAGCGCTGTGACACCTACAGGACGCTGATCGCGGCTTTCAAGGACTGCGTCACTTCCAATTTCCCTGGTAATTTCTGCCCCGATAACCTAACCGTATCAGCCCAAAAACGCCGTGACTTCCTGAAAGGATCTGCGATGCTTATCCCTGTTATCACAGTTACATGTCTTGACATCTTCCCCACTTAATTGGTTATACCGACCCGAATATATCATGTATTCTTTCAAAAGTATTTGCGCGCTCTTATGAAATACTTATACCAAAAAATTTATAAATAGGTCTATATTCATCTGCAGGTGAGTAACAAATCTGCAGAATATCGAATATTCAGTCTTTTTTTGATGTTTCAGTTTTAATTTTGTAAATTTTTCCAAATTGTTTTAAGATGGAAATCGTTGACAGATCAAATTTTTGTTCTACCCTTTCTCTATGCGCAGGAAAGGTCTAGGAGCTGGATAAAAAGACATTAATTTACTTTCCACACAAAGTTTCTATTTTTACAAATAAATAATTGCAAGAGGGTCAATCCACCGTTTCTGCAATGAATAGTTCCAATCATAAGTTGCCGATAACCTCAATGCAAGATATTTAGCTTTAAAATTAAGTTCGCCCTAAAAGTATTTTCTGCCTTTCTCTGATGGTTCTTTTTGATGGGGTGTGATGGATCGGCTAACAGACTATTTTCCCGGTATGTGGGCAATATTTGTCGTGCCCCACCCCCTTCCCCTATTCGGCGAAATTCATGCAAGACATCTAATTGGTTGGCCCCACCTCCTATTGTCGTTTGGACCCACCTCCTCTACAATCTGATTGGGTATCTTTCTGAACCAATCATTTTTCGTTTTGCCCTCAGGACATTTTTCTGTAAGTGAAACTCCCGTGGGCATGCAGAGATGTTGTTTGCACCATGGAGAATAAAACAGTATCAGGGCTGTACCCTTTTTTCTGACTGTGTTCCATAAGGAGAATATTTATAATGAATAGCTCAACAACAAATGTATTTTTGTATAGCGCATTATCACAACGACTGCTCAACACTGCTAAGATGATGAAGCAGATAACCCTGTTGCTACAAATGTTCACTGTCGTGCTTTCATTTCCTGCCTCTGCTCTATATTATTAAGTGCATAGGCTTCTTCTGGAAACTCCACCCAAAGCACAAAAACATCCAGATAAACTAGTGTCTCTGAATCACCAAAGTGTATGAGTATCTGTCCCTTGCAATGGAGTGGCATCCCATCCAGGATGTAACCCTTGCTTTGTACCTTGCTTTACGCTGCTTGGGAACAGCTTGGTTCTCCAGCAAAAGCTCCACCCAGTCAAAATGTAAGCCTATAAAGCCTGGTGAGCTTTTACTGTCATTAGCTGCCTGCTCCTAGCTGACAATCCATGCAGAATAAAGTATGAAAATGAACCAAAAACGTATTAAATCATTTTAATGTTTGTGCAAATTCACTTCTTGCTTTATTTTTTTTCTTTTTAATGGTGAAATACAAAGATGAAATAAAGTTTCTACTGAGTGCGTAAGCCTTGAATATGGCCCGCCGGAGCGGATCCCTGTTACAGAGGATGTCTCCGCTCGGGAACACGAACCTCATTAACGAGGTTCGTGAAAATCTCCGGCAGCTGGTCAAGAGGGTTACAGAGATGTGGCTCCAACCGATCTCGCTCGGAAGCAAACAAAGTCCAGAGCCGCCTGCCCTCCCTGACAGAACCCAGCCTCCACTGACCACCAACATCCAGAGAAAAAGAAGAAGCGAAAGGAGCAGAGACAGAAGGAACAGCCGGAGATCTTCCTGGGGGCCGCCTCTCTCGCCACGTCTCCCCCCGCTGGATTCCAGGAAGTTGTTTCCCCGATCCAGAATCCAGCAGAATTCGCCCCCGACATCTCCACCGCCGAGCCCAGCAGGCAAGTACTTCCAACCCGCGATACTGCCGTTGCACTGCCGGCTCAGGCAGCTCGTCCCTTCCTGGGAATAAGCCCAGTTATTAAAGGGGGTCCCTAAAGCCCTTAAAGGGGCAACGCCTATTGCGGAAAAGATCCAGTCCCTGAGGTTTCTGCCCCGTCCGAGGATCCTGGCCTGCCTATAGTTCCTGACTAGTTTTTAATTCTAGACCCACCTGTACAGTAGTTCCTGACTCATCTGTGGATCCAGTCCCGACAGCTGTGCCGCTGCCCTCAGAGGCTCTTGCTGCGACACCACCTGGTTGGGGTTCAGTCCCGGGAGCTGACACACTGCCCTCAATGCTGCCTGATGTGCCTGTTCTACCTGTGCCTGACTTGCCTGTTCTGCCTGTCCCGCCGGCGCCTGTTCTGCATGACCCGTCTGTCCCACCAGCGCCTGTTCTGCCTGACCTGCCGGCACCTGATGTTCCCAACCCGCTGGCACCTGATGTTCCCGACCCACCGGTTCTTGTGCTGTCTGACCTGCCTGTGCTGTCCGTCAAGCCTGATCTGCTTGTCCCGAGTGTCCATAAAGGGGCCAGGTCTGCTGCTCCACCCGAGGCCCCTGCTGCGGCTGCTGCACTGCCTGAGGCCCCTACTGCGGCTGCTGCTCTGCCCGAGGCCCCTGCTGCGGCTGCTGCTCCACCTGAGGTCCTGGTGCTGCCTGCTGCTCTGCCCGAGGGCCTGGCCCAGGTTTTGCCCAAGCCCGATGTCCCAAGACTCCTGCTGCATCTGATGTCCTGCCCGTCCTTGTTCCGCCTGTCTCTGTTCCGCTCATCCTTGCTCCGCCTGTCTCTGCTCCGCCTGAGGCCCCGGCCACGCCTTCGACTCCACCCACACCTGAGGTCCCAGTTCCACCCGTTGCTGAGGCTCCAGACCCTCTGGCACCTGGTCCAGCTCCCACTACTCCAGTTCCTGTCCCCGAGGAGGTCCCAGACTACCTGACCCTTGAGCCTCCCCCCTTGATGGAGGGAGAGGAGGAGCTCGAATGGGACTCCTCAGGGACCTCCCTAACCTGCCCCAAAGGACTCCTTCAGGAGGAGGATTCCTCCACCATCGCCGCAGAAGAGTCGATCCTGGCCAGAACCCCGCCTGTCGGTGTCCCGTAAAGGGAGAGGACATAGGCGCAGGGGTCAGGTCCCGCCCGCCTGCGGTCCCCTGGGCTCCTGCTCGACTGTTGCCTGCGGGTCCCCCACCGTTGCCTCGTCAGCTGCCTGCGGTCCTGCCTCCGACGCCTCGTTCACCTGCGGGTCCCTCCACTATGGCTCGTCGGTGGACGGTGCCTCTGCCTGCTGTGGCTGCGCCATCACCTGCTGTGGCTTCCCCTCCCTCCTTGCCTTCGCCATGGTCCCCTTCTGCTCCCTCCTCGCCTCCGCTGGTGCCCCTTCGTCTTCTTCCTCGCCCCCTCCATTGGTCCGTCCGGCTTCCTCCTCAGTCCCTTCGTGGTCCCCTCCGGCTCCTGCCTCCCAGCCGCCCGGGGTCCCTCCAGCTTCGGCCTTTCACTCACCTACAGCCCCTCTAGTTGCCGCCCATTGCCTGCTGTGGCTCCATCAGGCTCCCCGTTGCCCCCCGACCTTTCCCGTCTGGCCTCCTGTGTTTGCTCGTCGTCCCTCTCTCCCTCCTGTCTCGGTTTCTTTTCCCCCTGTGGTTCCTCCGTTCACTCCCGGTCCTTTTGTCCCTTCCATTGGTGTTTCCCCTGTGTCTCCCTTCCTGGTCTGCCTGTCTGCTTTTCCCGTCTTGTGCCAGGTGTTGTCTTGGCTTTTGCCCTTATGCTTGTTTGTTGTTTCGGTTCTGTTCCCTCTGCCCCAGTGATGCTTTTGTCTTGTTTTTTCAGGTCCTGTTTTTCCGGTCTCGTCCTGTCCGCCGCTCCCCTTGGGGCATGCCCGGAGTGCGTGCCTTAGGGGGGGGGGTTCTGTCATGACCAGCGCATCCAGTCCTCATGTGTGCCACGCCCACCTCATTACCCTCGTGTGAATTCCCAGCGTATCACTTATCTTGCGTTTATTCTGATGTCATGTCCTGTATTTAAGTCCGCGTTCAAATCTGTTTCCCCAGGTCTGTCATTAAAGTTTCTCTTGTGCTGCTCCCCATTCTGTGAATAAAACCCCATTTTTGGACTCCTGTCTCCCGAATCTGCTTCCCCACAATCCCTTTGTCACGTCCCTGTCTAGGGTCAGGACAAATGACAAAATGGTCCTGTCACGTTAATAACCAGCCGAACAAAAATGCCCAATCTCCTCGGTCTGTTTTTTACTTCTAGTGATTTATTCACATTTTACAAAGCGATTAGCATTACTGGTCTTGGCAACGACCGGACAACCACAGGCAGTATCAAATGAAAAGAAATGCTATTGTGCTCCAAGAGATCTCTCTCCAGCAAGCCGGGCTCGCTTTTAAAAATGCCACGCCAGCTGGACCGCCAACCGGAACAACCGGGATGACAGGCGGAGTCATCAATCCCCCAATCCGATCCCGACGCTTCTGCCTGTTAGAAGGGAAAAAGACAGAACACACACGAAGAGCCCAGAGCATCCCCACATCTCATCCCAAACCATGCGGGACGTAACACCCTTCGTGCACCAGACGTGACACCTATACTAAAATTTGGATGTAGATTTATATAGAATTTGGACATTAATCATGGAATTAGATCTTAATCAGAAATAAGGGCAATAATGATTAAAGGGACATAACTGGAGCCAATCATCATTCTGAAAACTGTTAAAATGTCATTGTGAACTTGTGAAAAATCTTGAGTTGCACTGATAGCCCACCACAGTTCAAGTCTCCAAAGTCTAATCACTGCAGTGGGCTTCACATTATTTAATATTTACATTCACATTATTTAACACCTGCTTATATGGGACTAATTAACGTGTCTGAAAGAACCTACATACAGCTCTGGAGAAAATTAGGAAACCACTTTAATTATTTCTTAAATCAGCATCTCTATGTATGACATTACAGAGTCTGTGGAGGAAATATTGTAAGACGTTTATGGAATAAATCAAAAACATTCCCATTGCTCAAATACATAGGCCTATGTCACACCCCGATCGTGCCGATCCTCCTGTGCCACGCCCCCTCGTTAACCTCACGTGGATTCCCAGTGTTTATCAGCTGTTTTGAGTTGTCTTCGTTAGTTAGGTGTATTTAAGTCCCCGTCAGAGTTTATTTCCATAGTCCTGTCATTGTAGTGTTATGCCGTTTTCTGTCCTGTCTGCCTCTCCGAATGTCAATTAAAACCCTTACTCCCGATTCCTCGTCTTCGTCGCATGCTTCCTTGGTCCGTGCTCGGCACGGTCATGACAGCCTACCCTTAAAAAATGACACTAGAAAAACAGATGATTTTTTCCAGAGCTGTATATATTTGGAAATTAATTTACTTAGAAAATAGTGGGAAAGAAATTTAAGTGAAGAGGTTGATGCGTAGAGTGATTTTCCTAAGTACCGTTTTCTCATTTGAAAAAAGAATGTGCGCTATATGCACAAATCAATCAATAAGCAATCAATAATATTCAGATCGTCTTCAGCGTATTTTCTCACAAGAAAAACGAAATCCCCACTAAAACGCCAAGAGAGAACCAGGAGAAAGATATTGACCCCACAAAAACAAATTTAATTCAAGCTTCAGGATACAGCACGAGTGAAACAAAAGTAAAATTCGTATTTCCAACAAAGTGAACAGTCTTCTCCTAAACGGCCAATAAGACCTGA